CTTGACATAAGCTTCGAATTTATCAAAGTGTACCTTGAGTGTCTTTCGTTCCTCTTCGTTTAGATTCCATGTGGAATATATGTCACGTCCTTTCTGGCCAACCCAGATCATCAGATATGCGCACTTTTCGTCCTCAGTTTTCTTTTTCAGGGGTCCCGAGAATGCGAAGTTCACGTGCTGCAAAAACGATTTCCACTGGCCTTCCAAATCATCACTTGCCCAGTCCATGCGTTGAACCCGACAACAAATCCATCACTCTCTCCCGTCTTTTTCACGGACAGGATAACCGTCGATGGCTTGTATTTGTGATACTGTGATCAGATTACTTCTGACACCATGTTGTATACGTATGATACTAAGACGCCATATTAATTGGAACTCTTTTATTACGAAGATAACAAAGTAATAATCAATTCGTACAACAAATGATTCATATATGACAATGTGCACGATTTAAATGAAGTGAGAGAAGGATTGAGTATTTTTACAACAAAAATCCATTTTATGATTTATAAGTTATTGATATTTTTTTAAAACAAATTCTTGCCTCAAAACGAGCCAAAAAGAATTTCCTCTATATAATTCTATAGAAGCTCGATAATGTTACGACAACGATAGATATTTAGCATTAAATTTCAAAAAATAAAAAAAAACGATGTAGACAAGGGACTATATTCGGTAATGACGAATATTTGCCCCCAAAATCAAACTTTGCCGGTTAAATATATAATTATATTCTAAAACAGGGGCTATCTGCAAACTTCAAAGCACTGAATATTTTCATAAGCCATGACGTCATATGTTTAATATGACGTCATGAAAATGATGTTAATTTAACATTTTTACTATTTCTGCAGAAAAAGGCGTATATTACGTCGATATATTGATTGGAAATCACCGAGCACAGGTCTGTTTCAGCTCAATATTTTGATAAGCCATGACGTCATATGTTGGATATGACGTCACGAATAACGGGTCATTAATCGTCTTTATATCGCCATAAATTACATGTATCAATGTATGTAACTCTAGGTAATTCAGAGGCGGAGGAGCGGATCTATCAATTTTAACAGAACGTGGGCGGATTACAAAGGAGGGTTTGGGAACCTAGGAGATTCTTTCTGGCTTGGTATATGTTTTTGTTTGTTATTTCCCAGAAAATGATCACTTAATTAAAACACATACCTTTTTTTCATTTCATTTTATATCACAGGATTAGATGAATATCAAAACATGCCCAGCATATCTCTATAATCGCAAAATTACTTTCAAGTTAAAAAAATGTTTATGCATATATTTGGTTGATAACAACATGCACTGGTATAATTGAAGATTACTACTCCTGTGCACAGTTAAAATCTAGCACAGAATGAGCTAGCACAAGACTTGAATATTCTCTCGAATATGTAAGTTCACGTATTCTTATTATTATATTGTTTAGGAAATGAGGTCATCCATGAACTTACTAAGGCAAGGAACACATCCCTGTACCTTTCTATCACACTGAAAAATAACATGACGTTATATGAATTATACAACCAATTTTCTGTTGAGGATGAAACCAATAGGTACCAACTCTTTCTCGGAGGGCCAGTAACCGGAACGTTAGGTAAGGGGCGGAGAGAGAGAGGGGGTGAGAGAGAGAAAGGGGGGAAACAGAGAGAAAGACTGCATTACAAAAAACACGTAGGCAAAGGGAAAATCAAAGAAAATGTAATAAACAGAAAATTCAATATTTTGTAGATGAATATGGAATTTATATCACTCGCTAGACAGGATTTTTTGATATTTCACTCGTGCTTCGCACTCGTGAAAATATAAAAAAAAAAAACCTGTCCCACTCGTGAAATAAATTCCATATTCAACTACAAAACATTGAATATCATCTATTTATTTCTATTTATATAAAACAAACAATATGATAAATTCTGCATTTATCTCAGGCTTTGCCTCAGTTGATAATGTTTTTCTTGGTGTGAAAGTTTTCAATGTTACCACCAACTCTGTAAAGGACTGATCTATTGATTCCTTTACAAATATAGGCGACAGTATGTTACACAGTCAACAAAGCTATTATGAACTGTCAGGAATGTACTTCAGCACCATTGACAGAGACAACGATCAGGCCCCGGGTCACTGCGCTGTTAACAGAGACGGCGGGTGGTGGTTCAATTACTGCGCTGATGCCTTCCTTAACGGACCCTGGTATCCCGAGTACTGGCACCGGCCGTGGAATCCTACACTTACTGATGGAAAACAGATAAAGGAAACTCTTATGATGATAAAGCCTCATTAGGTGTCTTACATTTAAACAGTGAATCGTTTTTATTAGATATAGTGTTAATGCAATTATGAAATTTTCTCCCAAGGCACCTGATTTCACAACTGATGTTTTGGAGGTCCGTGTTTGCTCTGCTCCTATTGTGTATTGTTTTACGGACTTTTGGGCTTGAATACTGTTCATTATCTACATATATTCATTCTACACACCGTTAATGTCATTAGACTACATCTTTCAAAACATATTCATTCATTGTTCAACTTCAATGTTTGTGATGCCAAGATGAAAATCACCCCTTTACCTTTTGAAATCCCGTCCGTGTTATGGTGTTTTGACTGTTGTAGCTTTCTTCACACTTTATAAGAAAAATATATATAGAACATAAATCTGCTGCTCATGTCGTGTCATTGTTATCCCACATTAACAGGTCAATTAAGCTTCACTAACTCATGTTACTGTGTTACCGGTATTTTTTGTTTAGTGCGATCCTTAATATCGACGAGTTACTGTAAACAGCCGTGAGATAGGTTTGGTCTAATTAAATGAGTTTGTTGATATATGTGATCTTTCGTACAATATCCCAATAACTGTTTACAGTGAAATAAAAGATACTTAAGAGCTGTTAAGCGTCAGTAAATTTTGTAGTGTTGTTGATTGTCGTCGATATCCGACAGTTATTGCGATGTTCTGTCATCCTTGAACTATTAGTAAGGCATGGCATTCTCGGTGCTTCGTAAATAGTGTCTCTCAAATGACAATTAGATGCTCATTGGTTAAGATATTAATAACATTAAACATATAATTCTTGTTAACAACGATGAGTCCACCTCTTTGCCATACAAACGCTGTTATTGAATATTTGCAATACTCATTGACATTCGCCCGAATTTCTATCCCTTTTATATATAAACAGGGAATGAAAGCTACACATTACGTTCAGACGTCAATTATGTAACGTCGAGAATACCACGCCTTACTGAAAGTCCCAGGTTAATAGAGAATAGCGCTAAGGAAACCTTCAGAGATATAAGGGTGAATACATGTAAAAGAAAGTCCTTGTGAAAAGTATTTACATTTTCCATTATTATGTTCCCCAAACGAAGTTGGGGAACATATTGTTTTTACTCTGTTTCTTATTATTATTATTTTTCTTCTCGGGAAAATTTTGTCCGCGAATGATCTTGTAAAGTACACATCCGATTAAGGGGAAACCTTTTTAGGGTAAGTAGGCATGTTATGTAGATTTGCGGAACAAAGGTCATTTTGCGCGCACGTGCTTGCAAGAGCGCGCACGTGCAACACGTGAAATGACCAATATACTTGAAATTGCCGTAACTTTTACATTTTTCGATGTAATGCTTTGATATTTAGAATATATAGACATATTATAAATGTAGATAAGGTGACATTGTCAACATGCCATTTTGTGTGCACGTGCTTGCAAGAGCGCGCACGAGCAACACGTGAAATGACTGATTTAATTGAAATAGGCGTAAATTTTTACCTTTTTTATGAAATGCTTTGAAACTCATAATATAAGGATATAGTAGTAGCATAGACAATATGACATGGTCAAAATAGCAAGATCTCACGCGCATGCACGTGCGCTTCGCTCTGATTGGCTGAAACTAAAGTCTCAATATCTTTCTTGTTTTTTGATGAAATTCTTTGAAATTTTGAACATAGCCATGCATTAGGATATACTACAACATGATATATAACAATTTTCATGAAAACACGTGCTTGCACATGCGCTGCAATCTGATTGGCTGAAACTTTAAATAGCTATAACTCCCTTGGTTTTCAACCAAACAGGATGGGATTTGGAACATAGATAGATATAATAGACTTCTACAAGAGAGTATGGTCACCATGCACATCCATACACGTGCGTGTACGCGCGCCGCAATCTGATTGGCTGAAACTTTAAATAGCTATAACTCCCTTAGTTTTCAACCAAACAGATTGAGATTTGGAAGATAGATAGAGGTAATAGACTTCTACAAGAAGGTATGTCACCATGCTCATGTGTGCACGTGCGTGCACGTGAAATGAGTCAAATAAAAAATACAATTGAATGAGCGTATTTTTTAATACTTTTGGATTAAATACTTTAATATTAAGTAACTTAAAAGTATATAGATTGTGTAGACAAGATGATATGGTCATTACGCACATGCATTCACATGCGAACGCGTGCAATGCTAAAATTTGAATGAACTTGGTTCCCTTCTGGGTAAACGTTGTTAAAGTCTCAAATGCATAAAGTTTGTCCTATTTAATGAAGCTTACAGGGAATATGGCACAAAAAGGGAGATGGGGAGCGTTTGGGGAACATCTGTAACGGTCCCCGTTACAATTAGCACTAGTTTTTTCTTCTTCAGATTTCTCACTCCATATATAATTCGGAACTCTTCTTGTGAATAAATGTATTCACCGTATTATTTGTGGTATTGTTATTGAATGAGTTATTATTTAAGGATTTCGATGTCTAACAGGACTATTTCGGTAAAAATAACATTTGTAGCTGTTTTTAACATCTGCACTTTTCGTAACTATGCAGAGTTATCGACCATTGAAGACAAGCGTGTAGACGCCATGACAACCCTCCCTTTTCACAAACTTTGAAATACATACATGGAGACCTTTTATATATGTAATATGGAGTTTTACTTTATTCAATGTAATGATATTACCTAAAATATACTAGTACTATAGAGGGGACTTCTAACTCCGTCTTTCATATATTTCAATAAACAGGATATGTATAGATTTTTAACATCCGGTGATGTTAATACATTCGAGGTTGTTTTTCCGACCTCTGACGGAAGGATCCGAGATGATGCGATCACACAGCTTTAAAGACGCTGACATCATATGTAGCACCAAAACAGAGGAAAATAACTGAATAGAGGAAGGAACAAATGTTTTTTATGATGTAACTTTAGACAAAATGCTGTTAAAAAAAATTTTTTTCATAGTAAATATATTTATGAGTTTACCGAGTTCTCAAAATAGCATGTATCGTTTATTGTTTAAAAGAAATCAGGTAGCTTTTTTAGGTCACCCGATTCAATCAGGTGACCTATTGCAATCTGTTTTCGTCCATCGATGTGCATCGTTCGTCGGTCGTAAAATTTAAAACATGTTCAGCAAATTTGGAACCATTTGCTCATTAAAAAATCTTCTTCTTAAGAACCACTGGGCCAGAAAAGCTGAAACTAATTTGGAAGCATTCTGGGGTAGTTTAGATTCTTAATTGTTCAAATGATGGCCCCCGGGGTTGGGTGGGGCCACAATAGGGAATCAAAGTTTTACATAGAAAATTAGAAATATGTAGATAAAATCTTTAAAAATCTTCTTCTCAAGAACCACTGGGCCAGAAAAGCTGAAACTTAAGGATATCCGATCCTCCGTCAGGAAGGATAACTCCAAAAATTAACATTTAATTTGAAATGCATCAAAATTAAGCTTGAAAATGAAATTTTTTCGCGCAACAATTTTCATTTTATTCATCTTTATAAGATTCAAGGTCTTTGGAAGTCTTAGAAAAGGTCTTATAAAAGTTGACATATGTACCCTATAAAAGGGGAAAATTTTAATACAGTTTTGGAGAAATAAGATTTTCTTGAATCCAGCTTTAGATACCAATGGTTATTAGCATGATTTGAAATGAGAAGTGATTTATGGTGTCTTGCAAAGATAGCAAAAGCCTTTTACACTATGTATTATAGAATATATGACGGAAACAGAAGACAAAAAAAGAATACAAAATAAGTATAAAAATCATGACAATTTCTCTGAATGCCTGGATACCCATCTTTTTTAGCCTAAAATATATTTGTTAATCAATTAGAAAATGCAAAGTTGATATTCCAATTCGCTTTTTCTGCAATAATATTGGAGATTTTACAATTTTCCCTATATAATATGATTAACTTTGATTTTTAATTTTAAAGAAATATTGTGGATAAAATTACTTATTTTATAAGTTATATTTACAGTACTTTCTTTCGTTTGTAAGGAATTTATTGTACAGAGAGGCGTGGCACTCGAGTCGCGCAGCGACGAGACAGCCACGCCTCTCTGTATAATAAATTCCTTACAAACGAAAGACAGTGTCTGTAAATGTCTTGTGTCATGGTCATTTGCATAGCCACTCCCTAGACATCAAACTGCACGCGACATTACGTCACGGGCCTATGTCCATCTTATACGGTTCAAACTAATCAGAAAGTACGAAGGAGATGGTTGCATTGGAAAGTAAAGCGATGTTAAAAGAGTGTGCAATTGTATTTGATGGATTAATTTAAGCAGTTTGAATATTTCAAAAAAAAAAAAACATAAGGTACTGGAAACCTGGATCCGTCCGCAAAATGATCCGCTTCATTACTGTTACTACGGATATGGTTGCATGTCCGGAGGAAATCCGAATAGAGTACGGTAGCCACAGGTGTCAAAATTATGGAATGCATTGTGAAAAAGTCCGAATGCATACTTGTATATTATACGAACATGTATCAGTGTGCATGTAACTCAAGGAACCCAGGAAACAGGTATTTTTAAGAAAATCATCGAACTGCGCGTGTTTTCAATATTGTCAGATTTAAATTATCTTGTTTTCATTTGAATATACGTGTTTTTAGTGAAGTTCTGTGTATTGTTTTTATTTTTTGTTTAAAGCAGTTAACTAATGAGTTTACGTACGTATTTCTCTTGAAAATGGATTTCACGTAATTCAGGGATGGAGTCGATTACATTAAAAAGAAATTAATCAAATTACAATTACTTTGACTTTCTCTCCAATTAAATTACAGCTAGGCTTTATAAATCATGTAATTAATTGCTTTATAATTACTTTACAAAAACTGTAATTAATTAATTACAGTCAAGTACAATTACTTTTTTGTTCAATTACCCCATCCCTGTCACGTATGCATTTATAGAGTGAAGGGGGGGGGGGGTAGATTCTGTGAGATTTCTCATTTTTCCTCTAGATATTGTGTATAAGCTTA